AAGCCGACATGGGGGGCGGCGGATCGGAGACGCCTGCGGCGAAGCACCGCCGCCCCCCCTGCCTCTTGGAAGCGCCCACGTGGCCGATCGTTGCGGCCAGGGCTCGGCGAAGCCATCGGACGATGTGCTCCGCTGCTGCTGCTGCTGCCGCCGCTTGTCCTCCTCCTGCTCGTCTTCCTCGTGCTGGGGCAACTGCGGAGGCAAGTGTCTGTCAAGTGGTTGATTCGTTCCCGAGGGGGTTGAAACACCACGGTCTGCCAGCCGTTGTGGAAACCCTTTGGGGAAGACGTGGGGGAGAAAGAAAAAGAGGAGGAGAGAAGAAAGAGGAGGAGGCCTCTTGGGAGTCTGATAGGGGCACTCATGGGGCCTACTGGGAGCTTCCCCGGGGCCTCTGAGAGACCTCTTGGGGGCTTCCTTCAGCCACCTGGAGGCTTTTGGAGATTCCTTGGAAGTCTCCTTGGCCGTCTGAGAGCGTTCCTAGCCCATCTGACGCCGTAGGACGCCGTTTTGGTCTCTCTGGGCCGACTAGAGGCCCTCTTGGAGCGCTTCAGAGCAGTCTTAGAGATCATCTTGGGCTTCTTGGCGTTCTCCTGGACCGTCTTGGGGTCCTCTTGGGGCCCAACCGTCAGGGAACAATCTCGGAGGCCTCTTGGGCGCTCTCGGGGCCTCTGGGCCGTCTGAAGGCCGAAAATGAGCAAACGCCAGCATCCTCTTGAGCGGTCTTGGGGCCATCTTGGGGCATCTTCGGGGCATTTCGGCACGTCTTGGAGACGTTTTCGGGCCATCTTGGGCTTTCTTCTTGGAGGCCCTCTTGGCCGTCTTGGAGGCAATCTTAGGGCCCATATGGAGCGGGAAGGCCGAAGATCTGGGCATTGCGCAGTCGATGTGTGGCGACAAGGTGGTGGGGGATCATGTTTCTGCGCCCTTCCGGGTGCCTGGCGCATTATCAGGAAGGAAAAAACACACAGGCACAATTAATCGTCGATTTCCACGAAAATATTGGAAAATATGGGAAGTGGGGGGGAGACAGAAACCCAGAAAATAGATGAAAGTATAGGGGAATTCTGTTATTTGTGTGTATGTGTGTGTCCCAGGGCCACTTCACATTCGCCCGAGACGCTACCGGGAACCCTTTCGGGCAATGCAGAGTTTGGGACGCCCTACGCCCGTGTGGCAAGCCAGCCCCTTTCGGCCCATCCCGCCTCCGTGCTTGGGATGTGGGTCAGAGGCCCCTTGGATGCGTATAGGGGCCTCCTGGGATGCCTCTCGGGAGCCTGTTGGAAACATGCTTGTTGGGGCCTCTTGGGATCCTCCGGGGTCTCCTGGGGGCGTCTGGGGAGCCTTTTTGGGGGCCCTCTCCAACAAAGGGGCGAGGACGTCGTGCGTTGGATACGCGGCTGCTGGTTCGGCGTCTCGCTCCTCGACCGGGGTGGCGCCCTGCCGCGCGACCGGGGACTGCGCAGGGGCGCGGGGGGCTCGCTCTGCGATTGGAGGGGGGGCCTCGCTCCGCGACCGGGCTGGCGCCCCGCTGCGCGACGGAGCACTGCGCGCGCGAGCGGAGGCCTTGCAGTCGAGGATTGGTAGGTCGGCCCTGCCAAGTCAAGGGGTACCGTTGCGCCCTATTGTTCGCGGCTTTATACCCCTACATCCCCATGGCAATGTAGCCCCTGGGAGGGTCTTGTGTCCCCTCGCGCGTCCGTTCCAATCAACCCCGACTGCACGCAGGAATGGCGCAGCTGCGTCGTAGTGGAGTGGGTATCTCCTCGCGACTGGCGGGGGGCCTCGCTCAGCGACTAGGGCTGCGCTTGCTGCGCGACTAGGCGCGCGTGCGCTTGCGGGAGTCTCGCGCGGAGAAGCTGCGTCGCATCAGCGGGGGTTTTGTGGTGTGCTTTCGCACACATCCTTCGGGATATTACGACACCCTGACGTCCCCTGAGGAAATCACTAGGATGTCTCAGTATATCGCTGGGACTTCTTCCTTAGTGATGAAATCCTCAGGGTTGCTGAAGACATGTTCAGGAACGCTGGGAGAATTGCCATGAAGCCTTTGGGGTTGCTGGGGAAATCGTCCAGAAATCCGAGGAAATCCTCAGGAACCCGGAGGAAGGCCCTACACCCCGCAGGACATGTATTTTTGTTGTTTCAAATTTTGTCCCCCCCCCCGGCCCGGTATCAATGTCGAGTCAGCCGCAGCCGACGGCGGACAAATCGGATCGCGCGGCGCCCCGCGCGAACATCGAGGTTGAGGGGCGCGGGGAGACGGACCGCGCGCGAGAATTGCATAATTGTTCCAGGGTTTCCAGGGTGGCACAGGCGCAGGAGTCCCGATTGGGACCCCGCCCGCCGAGCTGCGCTGGGGCTCGCCAGGAAGCTTCGCGAGGGCGGCGCCGGAGCCCCCTGCTTCGAGTTTGTGTGTGTGTGTGGAGTCGCCTTCAGACGCCACCAGTGGGCGTCGAGCACGAAGGACCCCCCCACCCAGACAAGTCGGCTGAGGAAATCTGCACCGGTTCACTCGACATCGGCATTCAAGAGTACCGGTGCAGTCCTCAGTCGTTTTCACTAATCGACGTGCATCTCGCCAGATGCATTCAGCTGTTTTTGGGCGTCGGTCAGCCATTGCGCCCAGGTCCTTTCGGAACGCGGTGCTTTGCGCACGTGGAGTGCCCTTGGCAACTTTCACTACAGGGCATTTTTCTAAAGGGAGTTATGTCCACACCCGAGAAGGCATTCGGAGAGACTACAGGACGTCGTCTCATCTACTGGCCTTGAGCTCATCCCGCCACCGTCCCTTGCTTGTGCAGGCCTCGGCGAGAAATAGCGAGTTCTCGTGCCAGATTCGTTTGTTAGTGCCCTCCCCTCCCCCCAGTGATCAAAATTGCCGGTGACTCTGATGAGTTGCACTTCGACCGCAGTCTCCCCCACGCGTGCCAACTTTGATCATTGGGGCGAGGGGGCATGTCCATTACGTGTTTTCCTTCACCGCCGGTCTGAGGCCTCTTGGCTCGTCGCTGGGCCTCTTGGGTCCGAGCAAGTGATTCGGGAAAATGCCCTGGACGCTCCAGGGGCCCCAGAGATTTGAGAATTTGGGGCCCGTGCCCCTCACAAGATCTTAAGGATTGCGGATTAAGGCTCAAGAGATTGAGCAAATGACTTGAGGACACTCCAACTCGTGCCTCGCAAGCACGGTGACGGATCTGTGCTACGCGCAAGGCGAAGGATGCGCAATTTGCTTCCTTGCGTCTCTTGGAGGCGGGTGAGCTTAACCTCCCCGTTCGACAGGCGCTCCGCTGAACGCTTCGACCGACGTTCGTTCGCGCATGAAGCTGGTCGGATGCGGCGCTCGCAGGAGGAGTAGGAGGAGGACAAGGAGGAGAAAGAGAGCGTCCTCCGCCTGCCCTCCCCACCCCGCCCCCGGAGGACGGGCTGAGCAGCCCCCCCTTCACCCCGACCAGGGAGGAGGAGGAGGAGGAGGAGGAGGAGGAGGAGGAGGAGGAGGGCGAGGGAGAAGTACAGAGGAAGGAGGGATGAGGAAGGGGGAAGGGGGAAGGAGGAAGGGAGAAGGAAGAAGGAGGAGAGAGCAAGGGAGGAGAGGGAGGAGGAGGAGGAGCAGGAGAAGTAGAAGGAAGAGGAAGCCCAAGATGCATCAGCGATGCTGCAAGAAAGACGCCTTCCCGACCCAAGTACCCTGCGCCCAAGTCTCTACAAGCCTGTCTTCTTTTCACTGCAAAAGGTACCCCCCTTGAAGGACCAGCACCCTACGGGCCTTCCACTCAGGCGACAGCCTTGTTCGGAAAACGAGCTGGACTGCGTCCTTTGGGCGAGTAAACAGGAATGCGAAAAGGTATGAACACGCACTCCTGCGAGGTGGCCAGCGAGAACCTCGCCTGCGAGCGAGGGGAGGAAGTGATACATCGAGAAGGCCACCTCACAAGGCGTCGGGACTTCTTGGAAGCCCCTCGCGCCTTCTGAGAAGTTTTCTGCGTCGTCGGGAAAGGCGGGGAAAACCTCTCAGAGGGCTGGGTGGCTTCCGAGCCTCATGAGAAGGCCTGCCCCTTCTCACTTCCCCCCCCTCGCTCGCCGCCGAGATCTCCGAAGAAGGGCCGCCCCCCGTCCGTGTAGCCGGTGCACCAGGGCACACTCCTGGCAGTGAAGCTCGAGGAGCTCTCACGCAGGAGCTCCATCATGAAGAGGAATTGGCCTCCACCCGTGCAGTTGCTGCGTATGCTGATGCCTCAAGCGAGAGCCCCAGTGTGCAAAGCAACCGCCCTCAACCCGTATAACCGAGACGAGCTTTCCAGACGAGCGTGCGCGGCGCTGAGACGAGCGACCCACCTTGAAAGCCACAGGTGTTCCACGCTCGTGCTTGCTGCGCACGTTTAGCACGAGTGCGCGCGCGGCGCGCACGGCGAGAGCCCCCTGTCGGCAGGAAGAGTGGGTCATCCACGCGTGCGCGGCGCCGTGGCGAGAGCCCCCTCTGGACGAGAGACGCCCGTGCTCAAGGGTTGGCACCTGCCACGGACCTGCTGCGGCGAGTGTGCTGCGGCGCTGCGGCGAGAGCTCCCGCGCTGAAGACCGCACCCTCCGCCGAGATGCAGTGGCTCGTGCGAGACGCCCGGCCCGCCCCGCCGACGCGTCGGGGGCGGCGACGGGGAGGAGTGGCCCACGAGGAGTGGCCCACAAGGAGGACGGGGGGGCAGGGCCAGGAGGGGCCAGGACCCCGAGGAACCAGGAGGAGGAGGAGGAGGAGCGGGGAGGAGAAAAAGGAGGGGAGCAGGGAGAAAAAGAAAGGGGAGGAGGAGGAGGGAGAGGAGGAGGAGGGAGAGGAGGAGGAGGAGGAGGAGGAGGAGGAGGAGGAGGAGGAGGAGAAGGTGCTGCCGACGGAGCTTGGCTTGCAGCCCATACACAGGCTGGCTGCCGACGGTCCCAGGAGGAGGAGGAGGAGGATGCCACCCAGTCTCTCGGAGGACGGCCCGGGCCCACCCGCCCCCTCCCCGACCGAGGGCGACTTCGCCGAGCCCATGGGGATGCCTTGGGTAGTCGACCCGCAGGAGCTCTCAGGCTCCGCTCATCATGGGGAGGGTGGCGAGGAGGGCCTTCCGCGGGCGGAGCAACAGCTGCAGCAGCAGAGGCAGCAGCAGAGGCAAGAAGGTGAGCAGTGAAGGGATGATTCCGCGATGATTCCTGGTTTTCGTCTGCATCGCCATGACCACCGGGCTAATCAGCATTGCGTTGCAGCACGTTTGTGGGACAATATTCAGGTATTGCGTGTATGTACCTCGGCCAGATGGCAGAGCGTAGCGGACGCGTCTCGCATACCGATCATCTCTGTGCCGTTTGCGCATGAGCATTGCGTTGGCCATCCGTGTGCAGATGGCTGATGCGGACGCGATTGTGGTTTATGCATTGGGCGATCCAATAAAAATGGATATGGAGAATGCATTCCGAGTTACATCGGGACGGTTGCAGTTTGTGTTCTGCCTGACTTGGGGTCAGGTTGGAGCTCCCCGCGGTACCCTAATCAAATTCGTGTTGACATCAGGGAGCGCTGGCTTTGCCTCCCTCCCCTGATTCGGAATTGAGCCCCCCTCTCGATTCCCTCTGCGACACTCGCAATCGTCAGCCATTTCAGGCCCTGAGTTGGTCCAGGTTTCGCCGCCATCTTCCGCCGCCCTTCCATGAACTTCAGCAGGAGGCGGAGGACAGGTAGGAGGAGGCAAAGCGAGAGACAAGCACAGCAGAGTTTTCGGAGCGTGCTCAAAAGGGGGAGGGTGATAAGGTAGCGCTCAAGATGCTCGATCCGGTGTGTCGGGTCAGCTTTGACGTTGTGTCTCAAGTCTGGCAAGAGCGCCTCTTCAGAGCGATCGCCCTCAGGCGATCCGTGCCCGCGGAAGTGCATCGCAGCAGCCGCCATGGATGGACAGTGCACAGGTTGCACGGGCTGCATCTTCCAGCCTCGATGGCAGTTTCTGACCCATCCTCCCAAATATCCGGTTGCCCCTGCTCACCTCCTCGACTGCATTTCCCCACAGTTTGTCCGCAAGGACACTTTCTCTTTGTTGATGATAGGCACTGGCATTCTTTCCTGCCTCTCCCCCGCCGCAGTCTTGGCTCTTACAGGGGCTTCTGACCGCGTCGGGGAGGGCCCATTTGGCATTTCGCGCGCTTGTGAGGGAAAACGCTGTACTTCAACATTGGTAGCGGAGCTTCAGTGAAGCTGGTTCGATCCACGGGTCTACGGACTGCTGCGCTTCGAAGTCACGGCATCAAGCCTACAGCGGTGTTGTGCGGACCGTCGGTGGCTTAGGCCTTTGCGCATGGGTGACGCGGCTGCGCCTGGAAGTCAGGGCAGAAGACACACGGCGGTGCCGTGCAGAGCATCGGTGACGTTTCACAGTGCGGAGCGCCAGTGACAGGCCGCACCTTGCATGGCAGCGAGATTTGCAGCCACGATGTCTAGCCCGTACGCAGGTACGGGGTTCCCCGCGGAGCGTGACATATACGCTTGGGCGGAGGCAGCCATGGCGATGGCGCGGCGCGCCGAGGAACGGAGTTCCCGCATCGTCGCCGTCCAATACGATGGCGATGCAGCACGGGCGCAGGATGACAGCCCCCAACCGTGCGGGGGTGCGGGCACACGAAATGTCCGCGACGCCGCCACGCAGTTGGAAAACGATGCGGCGCAGACACAAAACGCGGTCGAGCGAAGCTTCCGCGACGTCAGAACCCAGCGGAAGACCGAGGCGACGGAGACAGAGGATGCGCCAGCGGAGCTGGCGACGGACGCGAAGAAGATGATCGGGATCAGGTCTGCATCGGGCATTTTGACCGAGGTCGGCTTCTAGTTCTGAGCGACCGAAGCCGCGGTTGCGAGCAGACAGTTCTCCGGGACCCGGTGGACGAGGGCCCGATGTTGCAGATGGCAGTGCCCGATGTGGCAGACGGCAAGGTGCTATGATGCGCCAGTTTGGCAGGGGGAGGAGAATGAATTGCCTTCTCTCGAGCCTGGGGGCAGCAAAGATATCTGGGGTAACCCATTTGTGCACATGTTGCGTTGCCTGGTGTTCCGCTGCCGCTTTTGCTTGCGAGGGGCCCTTTGAAACGCCTTGGGGCGGTCGTTTCAACAATTTGCTGGCCCCTGAAAGCTCGTACCAGACAGATATACACATATATTAGAGTAGCACATCTTAATATATGATCATACTGCGCTGAAGCACGGGTGTTTCTCTGGAGCGTTATTTTGCACGGTTTCAGGCTGATGGTCGGGTGCTGACAGCGACCGGACACGTGCGGTGACAAAACCATGATTTAGATCCACGTAAATACTCATTATACACGGCTGACGCCGGGTTCATCCTCCCTCCATTTTCCTCTCTCCTCCCTCGTCCCTCGTCCTCGCCCCTCTCGGCTCCCCCGCTCTCCCCCCTTGGCGGCCGGAGGCCTGGATGCCACCGACGCCCTGCCGCCCGACCAGGGCCGCCATCTCGGTGCGCCGGGGCGCGATTGGCGGGCGGCCCAGGGGTTTGGCCAGGGGCAACGATTGGAGGGAATAGGCATCGAAGCTTCGAGGTTCGAGGTCTTTGGGCGTGTTCGTCGGCTTTCCAAGCCTTGGGTGCCTTCAAGCAGCTGCGCCTCGCCGAGGGCGTTCCGGGGGCGTTCCGGGGGTGCCCGGATCGCCCCGAACGGCCACCGGGGAATCGTAGTATGACCCGAAAACAAAAGGACAACTTAGGTTTAGTCGGGTTTGTCCTCCTACAGGAGGGGTGCTCTAAAATAGTAAAAAAATTGTTTGGGGGCGATGCTTCTACTATTTTTGATCATTTTTTAATCTCTTTTGATTTTTAAATCCGCCTGTACAGGGATATGCCCGACCTAAGCCTACGGTGCAAGGGTTAAAATCAGCTCGGGGGGGACGCCTCGATCCCCCACTGATCGCCGATAGGGGTCCGATAGCCTCACCCCGCCCACCTGTGGGGTCCAAGGCCCGGGTAGCAGGGCGCCCGAAGGGCGTGGAAAGGTCAATGGAAGAATTCCCCAGACATGATCGCGTCGTAAAGAAATCAGGACGGCAAGTTTTTCGTTATTTTCGGCCCCTGGGGGCTCTCGCCGGGCCCCGGGACCGTCAACAAAAACGACTCGGGATGAAAAATTGGCCCCGGGGAAAGGGTCTGGACTTCAAGGGACGCCGTCCTGAAAGAATCAGGACGTCGCATGTCTTGGTCTGCAACTCCCTGGAGAGAGCTTCCGAAGGACCGTATGGAGAGCTCCTGGGCACGCGTCTTGGGAAACGCTTTAGCAAGGCCAGCCAGAACACGCTGCCGGTTCAAACTGGCCGCGCCGGGGATTCTTGCCGGAAGTCGGAATGAGCTGCGGAGCTACCTTGCGGCTCCGGCTTCTGAAGGTGCGGATTCATCATCGGGTGCCTACCGCCGATCGATCGGCGATGTATCGCCGAGGCCAGGTCGATTCGTCCCCCCTACGCCAGTCCCCCTGGGGAAGTATCTAAGATAGTTGCGTTGTGCCCCTCGTTGGAACCTCGTGTTTTCATGTGTCCAGGCCGCCCAGACAGGTATCGAACATGGTGGCCCCAAGCTGGAACCGCGTGCTTGCACGTGTACAAGCCGCCCAGAGGGGTATCTAGCACGGTGGCCCCGAGCTGGAACCATGTGTCTTCACGTGCCCAGGCCACCCAGAAGAGGTATCCAATATGGTTGCCCCGAGCTGGAACCGCATGTTTTTACGCATGTTGGCCACCCACGAGGGGTATCTAACATGTGGTCGCCTGGGTGCCCCTAGCGTGGGGGCCCACCAGAGCCAGACGAAATCAGTATATCGACACCAGATGTGTTCTAATATGACACAGTTTCTTGAGCTGGTGATTTTCCAGATTTACCCATTGGGTATCTAACATGGTGGTCCCGAGCTGAAGCCATGTGTTTTCATGTGCCCAGGCCACCCAGGTGGATATCTAAGATGGTGGCCCCGAGCTGAAACCATGTGCTTTGACGTGTCCAGGTGACCCAGGGCGGTATCTAACATGGCCGCCCCGAGCTGGAACCATGTGTTTTCACGTGTCCAGGCCGCCCAGGATGGCTTCTAACGTGGTTGCCCCGAGCTGGAACCACGTTTTCACGCATCCAGGCTACACAGGGAGATATCCAACATGTGGTCCTGGCTCTATGTCTGAGCAAGCTGTGCGGATGTCTCGAGCGAGGGCTGCGGAATTGAGTCGGATTTTGAGCTCGAGCTGGTCGAGACCCCGCGCGATTCGATTGCAACCCGAGCTATGTGTTCAGACAGCTCGAGCTTCAGATCCAAATCAGTTTGGTCAGGATTCAGACGCCAAGGACGGCTTGACCGACAATGCAATCGCGCAGAGCACAGTTCAACACGGCATGTCCCCTGACGCGTCCCCTGGCACTGCAATTGGCACGTTCCGTGGCGCGTCCTTGACACGTCACTATGCGGCGCGGCACAGCTACACGGGGGGGTCCTCTAAGGCGCTTGCTGGCGGTCTTGGGGCTCCCTTAGAGCGGAGAACTCGAAATGGCAGTTCGTGTTCCCCTTTATGGGCCTCCGTTGAGGCGTTTGGGGGGGCCCTCTCAGGCCGTCTTGGAAGCCTCTTGGGCCGTCTTGGGGCACTCTTGGGTCGTCTTGGAGTCCTCGTGGGTGCCTCCTGGGCTGTTTGGGGGGCCTCTTGGGGCCGAAAAGGCGCAAACGCTAAAATCCGACAAAAAACATGTTTGCCTCTGGGGGTTTTCTTGGACGTGCTCTTGGGGCTCTCTTGGAGCGTCTTTGGGGCCTCTTGGGCCGTTTGCAGGCAATCTTCGTCTGTCTTGGAGCTGTCTTGGATCGCTCCAGGGCCCTCTTTGGCTATCTGTAGCGGTTCAGTAGGAGAAGGCAGGAGGCTGCGAAGAAGGGCCCAGGGAGGTCTCCGTAGGAGGGCGTCTGAGGAGCCTGGGGTCGGCGTCGCCTCTCGCGCCCGCGTCCCGCCCTTGCTTGACGCTCCACCGGGAGGATGAGGAGGAGGAGGAGGAGGAGGAGGAGAAGGAGAAGGAAGAGGCGGAGCAGGAGCAGGAGCAGGAGGAGGAGAAGGAGGAGGACCCAGACATGCTCGCGTCCAGAACAAAAATCAAGACAGGCGGCTGCTCGTCGCTTTCGGCCTCCAGGGTCCCTCGCCGAGACTCCCAGGACCGTCAACAAACGACGCAGGATGAAAAGTTTGCCCTGGAGAAAGGGTCGAGATGTCCGCGGCCCCCGTACGGAAAAAGAATCAGGACCTCGCATGTTTGGGCAGGAAGCGCCGACTTCTAAGGAAGCGGCAGCTCCAGCGTCAGGGCTTGCAGCCAGACTCGCCATCGCAGCAGCTGCAGCCGCAGCTGAGCGAGGAGTTGCCGTGGCGGGTGCCCCTGACGTGCCCGACCACGGACCCCAGGGGCGGGGGCCGTGGCCCGGCCGCTTCCGTGCGTTCGGCTGCCCCTCCCCAGCCTCCTCGTCAAGGCCTCGGGACGGTTTCTCAAGAGATCGTCGAACATCTCCCGCCGCGAGTTCCCCGAGGATCCTCCTCTCCCCGTCTCGTTGGGGAGCCTTGTCGCGTGCATTCCACCTGTTGTGTTTTGTTGCTGGAAGGGGCGCCAGCCCAGGGTTTTCGTTTGGTAGGTGAATTGTCCCTGGTGCCAGATTCAAAGAGCTGGCGGTTGGGATCCTTGATAAATCACAAGGTCGAAGAGGGCTGGTGTATTGAAATTTGAGGATGTCCCAGGCGAAACGCTGGTTTGGAAAATCCCGAACGATGAAACACGTGGCAAAATAAACATGTTCGTTTGCTGCGGATGTCTCACGCGAAACACTTGTTTTACATCATGTGTTGAGGACGTCTCGAGCGACACCTTTTGTGTTGTCTTATAGACTGCTCCTCTCTTGGGGTTCGAGTCCTTTCTGCGGGTTGCACGTACTCCTATAGATTGCATAGGGTAGCATCTCAGAGCCGGCGGTTCCGAACGCCCCAGAGCACGGCAAGCGTGACAACACATAGGTTTCTACCCCCCCCCCCCGAGCGGGACATGCGTGACAACACGTCGGTTCTTAACGCGCCAGAGCGGGACAAGCGTGACAACATCACATGGGTTCCTAACGCCCCAGAGCGGAACAAGCGTGAAAACATAGGTTCCGAACGCCCCAGAGCAGGACAAGTGTAAAAACAGTTGGGTCCCTAACGCCCCAGGGCGGGACAAGCGTGAAAACATATGGGCCCTCAACGCCCCAGAGCATGGCAAGCATGACAACACGTGAGTTCCTACTACCCCCCCCGAGCGGGACAAGCGTGAAAACACACGGGTTGGTAACGCCCCAAAGCGGGACAGGCGCAACATCACATGGGTTTCTAACGCCCCAGAGCGGGACAAACGCGAAAACATATGGGTTCCTAACGCCCCAGAGCGGGGGACAAGCCTGAAAACGCTTGGGTTCCCAACGCTCCAGAGTGGGACGAGCGTGCTAACACGTGGATTCTTAACGCCGCAGGGCAGGACAAGCGTGACAACACGTGAGCTCCTAACGCCCCAGGGCGGGACAAGCGTGACAACACGTTGGCTCCTAAAGCCTCAGAGCGGGACAGGCGTGACAACACGTCGGTTCTTAACGCGCCAGCGCGGGACAAGCGTGACAACATGTGGATCCTTAACGCCCCAGAGCGGGACAAGCGTGACAACATGTGGATTCTTAACGCCCCAGAGCGGGACAAGCGTGACAACACGTGGGTTCTTAACGCGCCGGAGCAGGACACGCGGGAAAACATTTGGGTTCCTAACGCCCCAGAGCGGGACGGCGTATGCCCCTCCCCCTTCGGCGCGTCATCTGGCTCGTCCTCTGTCGCGTTCCATGGTTTGTCCCCTGGCGCTTTCCCTGCCCGTTCCGTGGCGCGCTCCTTGCCACGTCCCCTGACGCGTCCCCTTGCGCATCCCCGAGTGCGCCCCTGGCACATTCCGTTGCGAATACACGCGTTCTGCGCCCCGTGTCGTCTCGACCCGCATCGGAGTTGAGTCAGATTTTGAGCTGGAGCAGGTTGGAGGTCCCACACGTGTTGATTGCAACCAGCTCTGGGCCAGTTATGCGCTCAGGCAGCTCGAGCTTAAGGTCCAGATCAGTTCGGTCAGGATGCGGATGCCAAGGGCGACTTGATCCACAACGCTACGGAGCACAGCGCACTTCATTGCGGCATGACACGTTCCATTTCCGCGCAGCACAGCAGATGTAGCACAACCCTTGAGACGGTACATCACGGTCGATATTTCCAGCATTGCAATTAGTTGTCGCCCAAATCATGTCTCTGGGAAACGTAGCCACGCTTCGCATTTCTCAATTATGTTTCAGGTTCGCGGGTCGATCAGGTTTTCCCTGAAAGGCGCGGGCCCAGGTGTCACTTTTAGTTTGTAAATTTGTCCCCAGTGCCATGTTCGAGGAGGGTCAACGGATTTACTCATCTACAAGGCGAAACGCTTGTTTTGCAGATTTCGAGGATGTCTCAAGCGAAGCGCGAGGGAAGGCCCGAGTTGCAGGGCCCGAGCGGGTCTGACAGGCCTCGGACAAAAATAGCGAACACGCAGGCCACAATCATCGGTCGACGCCTCCCCCTCCCCCCCAATGTTCAAAGTTGGCGGTGGGTCTGATGAGCTGCACTTCGACCGCAGTCTCTCCCGCACGTGCCGACTTTGAGTCTGGGGGAGCGGGGAGTGTCCACGAATTGTTTCCCCCTGCCGGATGTCTCGCAGACCATGGTCCGATCTGCCTATTATCAGGCCGCGGGGGAGCCCAGTGGCCCACGGAGCGTCCTGGGTGCCCGAAGCGGCCTCCCGAATGAACGCCCGAGCCTCAGCGGCGAATCCAGCCTGGGGCGCAAGGGCCTGCTGATCGACAACCTCTGGTGCTCTCCGGTAGCAAGTCATGGGAGCCGCGTATACCTTCGTAATTCAGTCTTCAGCGTCGATTATTGGCGTCTGGGAGTCGTGAGATGGCGCCGACGTAGCGTCGATTCAGCATCGACGAGCGTCGATTCGCAAGAGCTGGCAAGATGGTACGGGAGGCTTCCATGAGTTGCCATCGAAGTGTTCGACTGACTGCATTTGCGCGTGGCGCGCCTCGTTTCGAGGTGCATGGCAGTTTTCCCGCTTCCATGGGCAAGAATTATGTTGCTCCCATCGCATTTCAGGACCACATCCCAGACATTTCGAGCACCCAGAAAAGTATCGAAACAGTGTCGAACGAGTATCGCCTCCCAGGGCCCGACACGTGAGAACCCTCAAGTTTCGGTTCTTCCTTGGTGCTCGAAATTCGTTAGAGGCGATGTCGCGCCAGTTCCTGGCGGTTGCGTCCTGCGCCGTTTTCCGCGCCATGGGGAGGCGGCGTGATCGGCGCTGCTGGGGATCGTGCCCTTCCCGGCCAGGCCTAGGGCCCCGGGGGTAGCCCGAAAGCCCTGGGCGTTCCCCGCCTGGCCGCGTCCCCGCACGCCGCCAGCGTCGAGCGCTGCCCCCAAGCACGGCCCTCCCGCTGCAGGGGCGAGACGAGAATCCTTGAGTGCAGGATCCCAGAACACTTGGATCACGATCCAAGTGTTTCTCTATCCCGGGAACACCTGGATCACAATCCGAGTGCTTTCTGACAGGGAACACTGGACGGTTCCCGCTTCCATGGGAGATCGCGGATGTCCGCCGCCGAGCGAGGCGGCGCCGGCCGCACTCTGGGGAGGGCACATCCCCCGATCCATGTCTGCGCGCCCCCGATGGTGAGGAGGGGGCCTGGGAGGAGGGGGCTCGCAGTGCAAGGTGGGGAGCTGTGAGGAGAGGGCTTGGGACGGGAGGGTGCATTGCAGCATCGCTGGTGCATCTTGGTCAGCCTCGTTCATCATGGCCGCGCTCGACAGGTGCAGCGAAATGGCCTGGACGACGCGCAGGCCCAACGGGAAAAGCATTGGGTCTATCTATTGTTTCAGGAAGGCGAAGTACAGAGGCTGCGGCCTGGCCCTGGATTCAAGTTGGGCGTGCCCCTCTACAGGAGGAACATTTAAACATAGGAAAATATAGTCTGGGGGCGATTTTGGACAATTTTCGACTATTGTTGATTATTGTTTGACTACTTCTTCTTTTCGCACAAAAGCGGCCTGTAGGGGGACGCGCCCACACTAACCCTGGATGTGGAAAGACCGAGGTTTGCCTGCCAGGGCCTTTGGGGGGGGTCCGAGGTGGGCCACGAGGTGCCCGAGCCCCAGGGCGCAGCCCTTTTCGTGCTCCTCCCCATCCCCCGCCTTCGCTTATGTTGCCCCCATCGCACTTCGGACCAAATCCCAGAAATCATTTCGAGCACCCAAACAAGTAGCAAAACGGCGTCGAAGGAGTATCGCCTCCCAGGGCCCGACACGTGAAAACCCTACAGTTTCGGTACTGTCTTGATGCTCGAAATTCTTTCTTTTGATTCAGGCTAAAGCAGGTTGAAACATCCTAACCCTTCGTCATCCCTCTGACTCCCTTCTTTTCCTCGCCGCCTCAAAGAGGTATTCTGTGACATACGAATCTCGCCGTTGCAGTGCCTGCCCACGCAAATTATTCTTCCTTCATTTTGCGGCGCGCCCCGGAGGGAAGTGAGAAGGATCAGGCTTTCTCAGAAAGCGACGGGGCTTCTCAGAAGCCCTCCGGCGTTCTGAGAAGTCTCCAGTGTCTTCGGGAAAGGCCCAGAAAATGGTTCAGAATGCCAGAGGCCTTCGAAGCCTTCTCGAAGGACCGCCCCTTCTCATATTTCCCCCTGGGCTCGCTGCCAATCCATTAGCGGGCAAGATGTGTATCCATATCCAGTGTTTCTTGGACTCTGTTGGAAGGGCGCCACAAGGCCGAGGCGCACTGGATATGGATAAACATCGAGCCTTTAGGGGGCATGTTGATCCATAGCTGGTGCGCCTCGGGCCTCCGGGGAACGGGAGCCAAAAACTTCATACTGCAGTGGGTACAGACAGAAGTACTGACCGCATCCCTTGGCTGACATTTCAGCACGGGGCCGCCGGAAGCCCCGACTCTTCCCCCCAGGACTGGTCTCTTTCATCCCGAGGGGTTGTCCGACGGCCTCTGGGCCCGGCGAGGGCCCCCAGAGGCCGAGAACGACAAGGCACTTCCCGTCTTGGTTCTGTTCGCAACGCGAGCATTCGGGTGGGCACGTTTCTCGACAGGAGGACTATTCATAACGAGTCTAACAAAATAGTCTGGGGACGGTTTCTCTGTAGTCAAAAGTGTGGAGCATGTTTTGAGTATGTCTTATTTGGCTTCCAGAATCCGCCTGTAGGAGGACATGCCCGACCTAAGACGAGACACCCACCGTCCTGGTTCTGCTCGCGACGCGAGCATGTCGGGGCCCCGGGCTCGCCGCCGATCATTTGGCCGTCTTCTGCAGCAGCAACAGAAAAAATCTGCCGCTCGGCCCGCGGCGGCGCCCGCTCTTCGGCGACGCGTCGGACCGAGGTATCAGATCGAGGTCGGTTCGGGGAGGGTACCTCGGCACCCGTGCTTGGTCCAACGTACAACAACGTCCTCGGCCGGTCAAAGAAAGGACGTACAACATCGTCCTCGGTTCGGGGTACCCCTCTTGTGTCCTTCATGCTTGCTGGACGTTCTCTTGTGCACCCTGGAAAGGGGTACCCTTAGCTGTCCTGTGCGTCTGGGCTGGCGGAGGATCTCGTGCTCTCGAGGGATGCTCTCGTGCCCTGGGCCCGACGCTGCGCGTCAGAGTGACCTCTCGCCGGAGTGGCCGCCAGTGCGGGTCCCCGCAGGGGCCTCGTCGGCGCCGGCCGTCGTGCCTGGATGGCCTGCGCCGGGCCTCCCCCGCGGAGCCCCGAGACTCGGGCACCGGAGGTCGCTCTCGCCGGGGGGTCGCTCTGCTGTGTCGCCGCGCTTCTGCGGCCCCCGCTCCGAGGACTCCCTCGACGGCCCCCTGGCGCCGGCCGCGCCCTGCAGCGAGGGCCACCGCGAGGCCGCCGAGGCCTCCGCGGGCCGCCCTCCGCGCTACTCCCGTCGGGCGACGTCGGCGCCACCGCAACGGGTTCCCGGTCGGCGAGTGAGAGCCCTCCTCCTCCAGTACTCTCCCTCCCCCCTCCTCCTCCTCCTCCTCCTCCTCCTCCTCCTCCTCCTCCTCCTCCTCCTCCTCCTCCTCCTCCTCCTCCCCCTCCGTAGCCATTTTGGCTCAAGATGTTTGTGCCCCGTGGCAGAGCACGGAGACCCCTGGTCCGGGGACTGCTAGGACCGCTGCTTTCCGCCTTCGCCGTGCCCGCGGCGTTGAGCATTTCCATCTCCTTCGCTGCTGAGGCGCAGCTTACATATCTCTCGCCGCCAGCGCTGGCCCCGCGCACGATAGCCTCGCGATGGGTGTGCCTGGTGTCGCCAGCTCCGCCGACTCCTGGGCCGACTACACCGACAAGGGCAAGGGCAAGGACACTGCGGGCCGACCCCTGGGCCGCTGGAGCTCAGAAGCTTGCCGCGATCGACCTCCCCGCACACCAGCGGAAGGTGCTCACCGATCTCCTCCAGACCCAGGTCGGCAAAGCCGCCGCCGCCTTCGAAGCCACATCCAAACAAGTTGCAGCTGCTGCGCAAGCTGAGTTCCTGGCCAACATCACGAAGCTCACCGAACAGCTCAGCAACCGCCAGGAGTCTGCCGAGAGGGATATCACCGAACTCAAAGGCCGTGCTGACCGTGCTGAACGCCTCCAAGGTGAACTCAAGGCAAGCGTGGACGCTCTACAGCAAACTCTTCGTCATGCCGAAGCTCTCCACCCAGCCATGGATTTGGACGCCATGGGTGCCTGGGACCGCCCACCGAATGCTGCAACATTCTGGTGTGGGGATGCCTCTGAATTCTCCGTCGCCTCGCTCAAGACTGCGCTCGCCTCCTAGTTCGAAGCCGCCGACGTGGACATCAATGCGCTCCGCATCAACTCAGGGGGCCCAGCACGGAGAATCTCGCTCACACTCACTGGCGGCACTCGATTGCTCTCCCGCGAGCACAAGCTCTACATCGCGCACTTCGGCAAGGTCGTGAATGGCGACTCTTCCAGGTGGAATCGGACTCTGGACTCACTGCCCTCTACGCCTCCGCGGACAAGTCGCCACGCATGGTCCGCCAAGAAGTTCAACTCAAAAAGCTCAACAAGCTCATCAATGACAAGTTCCCCACGCTCGAGACTTGGGTTCACCGCGCTGGAGGCTTCCTGTCCGCCGACGGCGCTCCCATCGTCCAGGTCACAGCTGGCGCCACTCCTGATGCAGCCACCCAGGTCCGCTGGTCCGACGTTGCTGCCCCCGCTGGCATCCCTATCACCGAGCATGCGCCTTTGGCCACCGCGCTGGCCGCCGCATTCGCCAACCCACTGGAGGCAGCACGGTGGCTTTAGCATGCGATGGTCGCCGTGGTTCACGAAACCACACGCCGACGGCCTCAACTTGGTCTCGTGGAGTGCGCAGGCGCTCAATGGCAGATCGGCACCAAGGCGGGCCCTCAAGCGGCAGTTGTTGCTCAGTTACATGCGGCAACGAGCGGTCGCCGCCATCCAAGAGACGCACGGCAACAGCACCGACATGGACCTCCTGGCCGCGGGCTCCGACCACAAGTACATCGCTTTCCACTCAGCGCTAGTGACTGACGGCCAATCCTCGAAGACCGCAGGCGGAATCGCTTTCCTGGTTCCCTTTGACCGAGCTGAACTCCAACTGCCACATGATCAACGACCTCTACATTCATTTCGCGCGATCGTCCCTGGGCGCATTGGTGAACTACGCATTCAAGACGGGGCAAGACAGCATGAGACAACAATCTTCAACATTCACAGCTACGACCTCAGCGGTTCTGACCGTCAGCGCTTCAGAGCTGCGTGGCAAGCAGCTGCTCAACGCTCAGCCCTCCGCCCAGACAACCACGACTACTACATGATTGGGGACTTCAATATCGCCCAGACGCCGCCGAAGAGCCTGCTTCACCCCGCCGCGGACTCCACCGCCGAGCGTTACCACTACCAGCCTGTCTTTTGGAAGAACATCTTCTCACAGATGATGGGGATCACTACGAAGGCCACCACTCACCGATGCGTGGCCAACATGACGGAGGCGACCATCGACAGATGCTTCGTCTCGATCAACGCGTCCAACATCCCGCACATCGAGACACTTCTTGTTGCCGATGGCCGACCGCTCGACCGAGAAGGGGAGCCCATCAGCGATCGCAAGATTCTACATCTACGGCTTCGACCTCGTCAGCCACGTCCAGCCAGCGAACGCGGCGTCCCCGCCTTCCTCTTCGAATCCAAGCACTACAAGTTCTACTACAATCGTCTTGTCGAGATGGCCGACCTCTCTGCCGACCCCATCTCCAACTGGCGAACAATGAAGCACGTAATGAAGATGGCGGCGTGCAAGGCTCGCGACACCATCACCTCTGTCTCCGCCTCCGAGATCAAGCCGTTCGAGAGCCGAAATGAAGACCCACAAGTCATAGCAGAGGCACGTGCACTCACACTCCGCAGTATGGCCAGGGCCGTGTGGTACCAAGACCTCACTCTCGCTCAGCGACTCCGAGAGGCACCACTGCTGGGGCACAGCACATCGACATCAGTCACCACAGGATCTCGCTTGTCGACCGCACCGCGTTCGAGACCGAGCACTCCGCCATGCAGCTTCAGATCGCTGAACAACGGCGTCGCGCTGCTGCCGCCCGCTCGCGAGCTGCCTACGCGGAACAACGACCCGACCATGGTGAGCGATGGCGTCGTCGTGCTCGTCGTATTGGACAGCGCAGCGAGATCTGGAAGCCGTTCTCGAAGCGCTTGATTCTGGCAGGTGCCCGCGCCACCGACAGCAGAGGCCCGACATGTCAATGCACAACGCTATTCAATCTCACTGGTCGAAGGTGTTCGCTGCTAAGCACGTTGACGTCCCAGCGATGCAGCAATATCTGGACATGGTCTTCCCACCAATGCCTCCACGCCACCTGCCTCTACCTGGGATTGAAGAACTTCAAGCTGCTGCTAAACGCGCCAGTGACTCTGCTCCTGGGCCCGACGGATTGCCTTATCGAGCATGGGTACGGTCAGAAGGCAGCATCGAGATCCTCCACACACTCCTCCACTCCATTGCTCACGGTGGACCGATCCCACACGACCTGAATTACGCGCTCATGGCCATGCTCCCCAAGGGTGATGAGCCCATGGGCAACTACGAGTGCTCTCGCAGTCCTGACTGTCTACGCCCCCATCGCCATGAAGAACAGTGACATCAAGATCATCGCCTCCGCGACGAACCGCATCCTCAGCTCCGTGGCGTCGGATACCGAGGAAGAACTACAAGGTTTTGTCAGTGGCCGTCAATTTCTTTCCAACATTGTCAAGGTGGACACCATCGCCCGTATCACCAGCATCAACAGCGAAGCCCCCAGCATGATGCCCTGCTTCGCCAGCGTGGACATTGCCGCAGCGTTCCCAAGCCTCACGCACGCGTGGTTGTGGGCTACCCTAAGGCGGTGGGGCATCCACGGCGTCTTTCTCAATCTCCTGCAGTGCTGCTACAACATGCCACTTGCTTTCCTCGACTTAGGGGGTACTCGTCGACCGCTACTTCTAGCAGAATCTGGGGTTGCGCAAGGATGCCCCTTGAGTGGCACGCTCTGGGCGCTAGTCTTCGATCCCATCATCAAGGGCCTCAAGATGGAACTTACTGCTCTGGGTAGAGGCCTGCTCAGCGCATGCGCCGACGACCTGGGTATAGTTCTTGCTGCACTTCGGGATCTTGGCGCTCTACTACCACACCTGCAAGCTGCACAACATCACGCTGGACCCCGCCTTCAACCGAAGAAATGCGTCCTCGTACCCACCTGGTCCCTGCCAACGCCCGAGATCACCGCGAGCATGCGTGCCATCCTGACCCAGCTCTACGAGCCGTGGCAAGACTTCTCCATCAAGAGCTTTGCGCGCTACCTCGGCGTGTACATCGGCCCTGGTGCTTCTCTCGACTATCAATGGCAAGGTCCTGCCAACAAGTGGTGGGGGCGCATCCAGATCCTGTGCGACTCCTACGCTCCCATCCAGCAGTGCATCAAGATGTACAACTCCGCTGCCATCGCATGCCTCTCGTTCGCCGGCCAGCTCTACCCGCCTTCCCCAGCATTCCTGTCCAAGGAGATTCACGGGCTCCACAAGCTGATCCGCGCTGCCCCCTCGAGCTTCACGAAGATGGACATTCTGTCGTTCACGCTATGGGCGTCCGCCACGATCCCGCAGGGTATTGAAACGCTTCTCGCAGCAACGATGTGGCGCGCCTCCGCGACCACCATCTCTGGCTGGCAGCCTCTGCTTCACACGTTCCGTGCCCATGCTGAAGAACTTCTCCCGCTACGAGATGCAGTTGTTGGGAAATGGTCTGCTTCATGCTGGATTGACGCCACTTCCATCGTGCAGCGATTCGACGACATACTGCACAACAAGCTGATCGCGACGGGCAAAGGATCCATCTTCAAGATTCTCACGCGATCCACAGGATCTACGGTAAATGCCGCCCACCTACTGCAACGAGCACATGGGCAAGCTGCTGCTGCTGGACGACACGCTATCATGGCATCCCGTCGTAACAAGGCGGAGGATCTGTACACACACAGTCGTGACAGGACTGGAGCCCACCAGGCACCACGCCGTGACAGGGCTGGTGGCCTTCACACGCCCAGTCGTGACAGGACTGGCGGATCTCATCAGAGACAAGCTGGATACATAGCTTCGAATGGTGCTACTTCGAGTGCCACTTCACGCACCTCTCCACAACAAGCATACCTACGGGAACTACAACGCCAGCTGTACCGCGACTCCTTCCACAAGACTATCCATCACCGTCTCCGCGCCTGGTTCCCACTACTTCCCGTTGAAAGTGGACCTCAGATGGCACCTGCCACGACCGAGCAGCCGAATGGGAACGACAACCATGACTCCATGAAGTACCTGAATGAAC